TGAGTCCTGCTCATGTACTCAGCTGTGATCCACACTGGTTGTGTCTCTGAAGTGTCTCCTGTTCTTCTGTCTGTTGTTCATTATCTCCTCCTCCTCACCTTCACTGTTTCCCTCTTTACTGTCCTCTTGTAGCATCAATGAACCTGTACAACTACACAGCACACTCAACACTTCTAGAACAGACTGCACCCACATTAATGCACACCACACTCAACACTTCTAGAACAGACTGCACCTTCATTAATGCACAACACACTAAACACCTCTAGAACAGACTGCATCCTCATTAAAGAAGTCCTACTTTAATTTCACCACAACTGTATGATCAATAATAATAAACATTATTTTTATATGACACCTTTACAAGAGGTGGTAAAAAAAGCAAAGGGTAGAAACAGACCCAGTTAAATTTAAGCTCTTGAATGAATGAATAGAAGATTGTGAGTCTGAATTTGAAAGAGCTCAGAGAAAGTGACTCTATGATACCCATAGGGATAGAATTCCAGAGCTTTGGGCTGCAGCAGGAGAAGCCCTGTCACCCAGAGTGCTGGTTTGGAGGACAGACAGGAGACCAGGATTAGAAGAGTGAAGGTTGTAAGGTGGGGAGTAGGATGATAGTAACTCTGACAGGTACTGAGGTGTCAAGCCATGCAGAGACTTTTAGGGGAGCATGAGGACATTGAAGTCGACATGAAACCTGATAGGAAGCCAGTGCAAGGATTCCAGGAAAGGAGTAATGTGATCAGTTGCACTAGACCTGGTCAGAATCCTGGCTGTCAAATTCTGGACATACTGAATTTTGTTCAGTGTTGGTTTAGATACCCCAGTGAGTGGAGTGTTACTGTAGTCAATAAGAGGAAAGATGAAAGAGTTGACAAGCTTTTCAGCAACAGTTAGCTCTAACATAGGACGCAGCCTGGCAGTATTTCTGAGGTGGAAGAATGATGTTTTGATAATTTGTTGAATATGTCATCGTGGATCAGATATCACCCCCAAGTTCTTCAATTTTGTCTGTGACTCCAGTACAGTGTCATCCACAGATAAGGATACTGCATTGGTGTGCCAAGAAGCATGACTTCTGTCTTGTCGCAGTTTAAATGAAGGAAATTGTGAGTCGTCCATGTGTTTATGTCAGAGAAGCAATTAGAGCAGAGACATGTCAGTGTCAGTTTAGTATGGACGTACTGTACTGCAGATTTGAGTATCATCAGAACTCATACATGCTGAAGGGTAGGGGGCCAGTGTCAACCCCTGAGGAAGACCAGACTTAATGAGTCCAATTTCAGAGCTACAATCGCAGAGAGAGACAAAGTGAAAGTGATCAGTGAGGTAAGACTGGAACCATTGAAGAGCAGTGTCAGAAACTCCAAACACCGTCTCAAGACAAGAAAGTGAGAGGTCATGGCTGACAGTGTCGAAAGCAGCACTGAGCTCAGTAAGAATGAGGACAGAAAGAGAACCAGAATCAGAAGTCATTAGAAGATCGTTAGTGACTTTGACCAGGGTGGTTTTTGTGCTGTGAAGTTGTCTGAAACCAGATTGGAGTTTAAAGAGGATTCTTTAACTGAAATCTAGCAGCACATTCTAAAATTTTTGCAAGAAAAGGTAATGAAAGGGTATGAATGTTGGATATAGGTCGACATTTGTTTAGGTTATCGAGACCCTTGATTCTTTTTTTTTCACGCAGGGGTAACAGCAGCAGTTGTGAAGCCTCTGGTACCACATCAGTGCTTAAGGATTCATTTATTATATTGAGGACTATGGGGCAGAAAACAGAGAAACAGGATTGAAATAAAGTGCTGGGAATGGGATCTAATAGGCAGGTGGTGGATCTCAGACACAAAAAACAGTTAACTGTGGTATAATATCTTCACATGCGCTATTAAATACAAGACTCACGCTGGGCTCTGCTGGAGTCAATCTGACACAGAACATGTTTCCTTTTCTCCTTTGAAATGATCTGAATTTTCCCAGAAGCAGACAGGATGTGAGATGTGGTCGGACACATGGTCTGCCTGGTCCAGAACCTCCTCCAGAGGTCAAGCACATTCAGCCACGGGGTCTCAACTGACTGCAGGGGAAACTAGTAGCAACAGGGCTCATCAGCACTGCTGAAATCCTCTGTTTGGAGATGCAGAGAGCAGTCAGGACACTATATTGAGATTAATGAAATCTGAAATCTCTAGATTATGTTTTATATATAATTAGAAACATGATTATTTCATTTTTACATTTCACTTCACATACAGATGTGCAGACCCAGGTGTCAGGTGTCTGCTGCGCTGCACATGTTGCCGGTGTAGATTAGACAAGAAACAGGAGCGTGTCAGACAGGACCAGGAAACATCTCGTGTGGATTAGACATCAGGGATAGAGAGTGTGAATTTTCCAGGGTGACTCTAAGGGGTGTTTCTGTGACGTGATTCTCTTACAGCAGAAATGTCCTGAGTGTCTCTGTTTCTCCACAGAAGCAGCTGGGGGCGACACAGACACAAACCCAGCAGAGACTACAGGAGAGAGAGAAGGAACTGCAGGAACTGAGACAGGCTGTGGAGTCACTCAGAGTGGGTATTGAACAGAGGAGTGGACACACTGGCACACATTTCCACAGCTGGACACTGGACAGTACCCTTTGGAAACAGAGCATACAGCATAATGTAGTTTGAGTGTTTTCCTGTGTAATAATCCAGTGTGTGTCTCCTCCCTCAGAGCTCTGCACACACAGCAGTACAGGACACTGACAGGATCTTTACTGAGCTGATCCGCTTCATTGAGAGAACACGCTCTGAGGTCACACAGCTGATCAGAGCTCAAGAGAGGGCTGCAGTGAGTCAGGCTGAAGGACTTCTAGAGCAACTGGAGAAGGAGATTACTGAGCTGAAGAGGAGAGACTCTGAGCTGAACCAGCTCTCACACACAGAGGATCACATCCATTTCCTCCAGGTAACATCACTGCTCTGTGACTCTGCAGTACAGAAGGGTGTCTCTCACACAGAGCTGCTCCTGGCTTCTCCCCAGGAATGTGTGTTGTGTTTGACTGGAAACTCCTCTTTCTCTTTCCTGCTGCAGAATTTCCAGTCTGTCTGTGTCCCTCTTGGAGCTGGAGACTCACCCAGCATCCCTGTCAGTCCACACTTCTCTCCTGAGGCAGTGAGGAGAGCTGTCTCTGGACTGAAAGAGCGACTGGAGGATCTCTGCAAGAAGGAATCAATAAAGATTTCCACAACAGGTTAGTGGAGAAACACACTGATGTCTTTCTGGTTAACTTATAAATGTCACATTTTTCTCTTATATAGAGTTTATTTAACTAAAGTTCAGGAGGGATGACAACAACCACGCTCAATCATTCCCAGCCGACAGTGATAAGCGATCACTTCCTTCGTCCTTCCTACACCGAATGTTGTAAATACCAAATGCAATATCTCCCTCTCCCTCATGTGCGTCTTTTGCATCCAACCTCCACCCCAACTCCAGCTCTGCAGCTGCCCCTTGGTTACCTTGCAGGGGGGTCCTGGCCTCTTTGTGCAATGGCCAGGAGGTCGGCCCTCAGCCAAGAGGGTTAAGCCAAATATCCACTCCAATAGTTCGCCACACTTTGATTTCGGGGCGTTGTCATTCCTCGTGAAATTGTTAATGGATTTTCTGTGCAGTGACTGTATGTATCAAAGCAGCTTATCAGTCAAGGATTCAAATTCTAGGTGAAATAACTTAAATTCTCTAATCTCACAAATCTTTATGACAGTAACTGTATTGTTATATTGTGCTGTATATAGTTTAACAGGAACATTTTAATATGAGCTACAGGCTCAGTATAGTAGAACAGTTCTGTTACAACGTGTGTTAATTTGATTAACAGTGTCTGTATCTCTGTGTTCCAGTGTGTGTCTACAGTACCAATACAGTAGGACAGTCCTGTTACAATAGGAGCTATGGCCCAAGTGAAGAAGAACAGCTCTGTTATTCCTGTTACTCTGTTACTGCAGCCCTGATGCTACATTTCTCTGTGTGTCTCCCCAGTGACTGAAGTCTACAGTCTGCTGACTCCAGAGCCCGGGTCCAGAGCAGAGCTTTTACACTGTGAGTCTGTTTTCACAACAGTTCCCCTCTGAAATATACCTGGAGCTCAAACACACAGCAGGAACAGTGATACAGAAACTGATACACACTCTGACACACACTGATTCACACAGTGAAGCATACTGGTCACTGTGGGTACAGGTCTCTCAGTCAGTGATACTGGTCACTGTGGGTACAGGACAATGATGACTGAGCAATGCTCAGTTCTCAGTATCACAGCTGTGGACAGACTGTGTTTATTTCTTATCTCTCTCAATGGATCAAGCACCAGACTCCAGGGTGTCCTGTGATGTGTCTGTGTGTCTTATTGCCTTGTGCTGCTCAGTCTTATTGAGTGAGACTCCAGTCTTACAGCCACTGCTGCTCACACTCACTGACACTCTGATCCACACTGCAGTGGAGACTGGGGATCCTGAAATGGACTGACTGCAGACTGTAGTATAAATTCTGCTATAATGACAGGTAAGAAGCAAGAATGGTCTTTAATACAATAAAGATTTACTTCTCCTCTGCAGATCCTGTGAAGCGAGTTCCTCTACCTAAATCACGTATGTACACAGTGGGAAACTCTGCTGACTGACTGTACTGACATCTTATGACCAGTTTGTGACTGTGATTAACAGTGTCTGTATATCTGAGTTCCAGTGTGTGTCTGTGATTAACAGTGTCTGTATCTCTGTGTTCCAGTGTGTG